ATGGCAGGGTTGCTCTTAGAAGGGGCAGGTGTTGCCCACCCCCCCAACTGCTGTCCTGGCTAGCGACAGGGCAGCCAGGCCACAGCCATGTTGGTGCAGGGGATGGCACCCACCAGCTGCATCAAATCTCTGTGACCAGATCAGGTTTTATGTTTTTCACAGCATCCAGCGCTCGCTGGGTTTCGTTGTTTACACTGTGATAGTCCAACCTGAAGGGGAAATAAGGAAAGAAAACAACATGTTAATTCTCTCTGCAGACATGATGCCTGAGCCCACAGTCCCTCTGAGCAGGGCCGCCCGGGGGCGGGGGCGGGGAGGGGGCAAGTGGGGCAATTTGCTACTCCATTGGCATTTCCCCAACTCACAATGGGCCTCAGTAACAAACATATAACAAAATCTCAGAACTTCATATACATGATGATACACACATTTAAACAGGACAATGCGTTTCAGCAAATCGTGACTTTTTAAATGATGCCTCTCAAGGCAAGCTTAGTACAAAATATCATAGCCATAAGCAAGTGGTGAATATGGGGGTTACAGAGTGTTATTTTGATGTACAGTGTGTCACAGCTATGGAGGGGTGATACAGGGTGAGTGAGGTATCATCTTTTATTCAACCAAGTTCTGGTGGTGAGAGACAAGCTTTTGAGCTTACACAGAGCCCTTCTTCTTCAGGTCATAGAGGGGTGAGATGTTTCAGGGAGAGTCCCACGAATACTGGAGAAGTTATTGGGTATAAAATCTGAGCATCCCAGGCCTGTGGAGGTGGATTTTGGCAGGCCCTGTCTGCTGCCAGGTGCTTGGAGTGATTAGTAATGACTGGCTGAGGAGTAACTAGTAAGGAGAGTGGAGAGAAGGAGTCACCTGTCTTTTTCCAAATGCTCCTCATCTCTCCTTGCTCTCAGGGGGATGAGAAATGCATCTTCCTTCTGGGTTAAAAATGTTTCTGTTCTCTGATGGAACATGCATTTGCTCCTTTCCACACTGAGGGCAACTTTACTCAGGAGCCATGAATTGGATTTTTCACTGTGTGTGTTTATAGCAATTGGAGCAGGCTGTGCAGTAGTTTGTCCTGCTAAACCTTGGTTGGTTTATATGATAATTCCTCTCTTCAAGAACTAGGATAGAGCTAATAGATTGCTGGGCCACAGTTAGATCTGTGCAGCTCCACTGAACCATAGAAAGGTTTCAGAGTAGCAGCCGTGTTAGTCTGTATTCACAAAAAGAACAGAAGGACTTGTGGCACCTTAGAGACTGACCAATTTATTTGAGCATAAGCTTTCGTGAGCTACAGCTCACTTCATCGGTTACACATGGACAAGACCCATGATTTTCCTGGCAGCGCAGGCTTGTTCCTGCAGAAGCCAAAGGGACTGCACAGGGGGTAACTCAAGGTGGAATTTGACCATAACACTCTGGGTGATTCTCCCATGTTCAGATGGCTGCATCTGAGCAAAGCTGGTGTGAAGACCGTATTAAATCTTACTTGGAAATTTTACCCACTCTGTAGGCCCAATACTGCTGCCATCGGAGTCAACTGCACAACTCCTATTGACTGCAGTGGGGCAGAAATGGGCTTTATGTGCCTGATCCAAAGCTTATGTGAAACCTGCAGAGAAACCTCCAAATCCTACCAGCATCATTCTTTTCTTGGGACGTGACTGGGCTGGCTTAGTGCTTAGTTTGTAGATGACTTTTTCATCATACTCTGAACAGAAGCCAGGGTGAATTGGGGTGTGATGGTCTCGTTCTCTGGCTGTGTTAGAACATCCCCATCCCCAGGGTGCCCCATGTTCTATGGAATCAGGATGGGTGAAGTGAGGGCTCCTCTTCCAAGTTGAAGCCGAAGGGCACTGCCAGAAGATGGGAGACCCCAACTGCATTTTTAAAGGGTACCAAGTGTGCCCTGCTCCATGGCTGTCCATCTCCAGATGTCCCGCAGTGATTCCTGTTTCCCTTTTCATGCTCTCATCCCTGTCGTCCTTTTTTGTACCTAGTCCATGGCCATGGGAATCTCTTTGCTTTTGTGCAATGTGGAGGGTCATCTCTGGGACCATGTTTGATTGGAGGCAGCATGTGACAATCACCAATGCACAGACAGTAGGTGGGGAGAGAGCAGAGTCACAAAGCAGCTGAACAGGTTCTCAGGTGGTAAAGTGAAGCCCATCAAATCCCAGGCAGTGCTTGTAAAAAGCGGGCAAGGTCTTTGCAGGCTAAATTGTGAACGCTGCAGTGGTGCAGATCCGGGGGATTTTCCCGTGGCTGTGGACAAGGAGTGAAAACTTTTGCGGAGAGACACATTTCCTCTGCAGATTTATTCAGCATTTGTGTTGGGAACTGCTTGGGACAATCTCACATGCAGCAAACAGATCCTCTCACCCCTTTGTGCTACTTTTCACATTCCCCAGGTAGTAGTAACAGGGCCATCAGTTGAGTGATTACTAGTCCCCACTGCTACTGAAGAGACTGGGAATGAACAGAGGGGTGTGGAGGGTGGCTGCAGGGCCCAAATCTTTGGCTCCTCCTGTTCCCCAAAGGAACTGCTGTTTGCACTTACGCATTTCTACTCTGAAACCTGATGGAGAATCATAATGGTGCAATTTAAGGGGTCGTCCCCATTGGGAAGTTGAACAAATTTAACTTAAATTAGCTTTTAGAAAGGAAGGATGATGCAGAGTCAGTGTGCTGGCCCCGACATTGGGCACCTGGTTTCAATGATCTTCTCTGCAAGAGACTCCCTGTATGACCTTAGGCAAGTCACTTAGTTGCTGTGTACCTCAGTATCCCCATCTGTAAAATGGGGAAAACAGCATTGCCCTACCTCCAAGGAGGGGTTGAGAGGAGAAATACATTAAAAATATTGAGTTGCTCAAATACTATGTTGACTTGCCAACATTTGCAAACAAAAATAGATATCTACATATATGTGCATAAATCTGCATAGATTGACATATTGCCTGTTTGCCCTACTCACACCCACTTGGTGCATTGCTTCCATCCATCTCACTGAGCATTCATTGCACACCCACTTTCATTCCGTCCTGTTCTTCCACCCACACGCTCATTACACACAAACTCTCCAGGCACCACTTACTGCACCACCCACCCCCGTTCATTCCACACTGAGTACACACACCCTGGACACAGACAGAGCCACTCACTGTGGATACCCACCCCACCCGTTCTATAGCCATCTGTGCACCCTGCACACACCCATTCACGCTCCGTTCAGCGCATACATCGCCCCACTCGTTTCATGCACACGTCACCCAATACACATCACCCCCATTCATCCTGTGCACACGTCCCATCACTTCCAGGTGCCTCCACGGCTCCACCAACCCAACCCCCAAGCTACACCAGAGCAGGAGAGCACAGCCAGAGGCCTGGCCCTTTATAGGCAGATCCCCGGAGAAGGAGAGGTTTCTAGGTGTTCAGTACAAGTCTTATCCTTGTGAGCACCCCAGTCCCTGGCTCCCGCCTCTACCCCCAACTCCCAATTCCCTGGGCAAGAAACTGCCACAGTCCTAGTCCCCCATACAGCCCACGGGCTCCCACCCGGTATCTGATCTCCTAAGTTTAATACCTGGTTCCCATGTCTCTGGCCAGAAAACTTCCCACTCCAGTGCCCCTCTGTATCCCCCAACCAAGGGGTCGCTCAGTCTGGTTCCCCCCCAAACCCCAGACCCCACATCCCCACTTTCCCTGAGCTCCTAGCTCCCTGCTCCACCCCACGGATATGGGCTGGACTTTGCCAGTGAGGCCCCCAGGATCCCCACCCCCCCACACCTGAGGTGACTGCCAGGGGACTCCCAACCCCTGACCCCCTCTGTGTGGGGTGCGCCTCTGACCCTCGGTCCTCCCATCTGCCATCCTATGTGGCTCTGACCCACTGCTCTCATGTACCTGTGACACCTCATGTGCCTCTAATGCCCCCTCCCTGCCCCATGTATCTGCATAGCCCCGTGCTGGGGGAGGTGTGGAGCAGCGCTGCCCCAGGGCGAGGGCAGGGAGGAATCCTGGATTTGTAGACAGACCACGGCACCTGCTGCCCCCTTCAAGGTGTGTTACATGCTCCCCCTCCCCCCGCCATGTGCCAGTCCCTCTCTGTGGGCTGGTGCCTCAGCCCCACCTCTCCTGCTCCCTGCCCCCGTGGGGTGACGTGAAGGGAGCAATCGCTGCACTGCCCTGAGCACAGGGGCTGCAATTGTGCCTGGCCTCACACAGCTCAGGCAAATCGCAGGCTGCTGCTGAGAGTGGGGGTGCCCGTCAGTCCTCCTGCCCCTATAACCCAAACCACAACCCCCTGGGCCTAGTGCCGGTCGCTGGCTGAACTGAAAGCAAGGCTGGGAGCCAGCAAGCGCCAGGCGCACATGCCACTGAGTCGAGCCACCCGAAAGGTGAAAGGAAAAACGAGGCCCCAAAGGCAGCAGTCTTCCAAGCTTTCCTTAGCTCTGTGCTCTCGCACAGAAAAGAGAATTGTGACACTAAGAACCAGTCACATTGGGGGGGGGGGGGGGTTAAAAAAAGCCCCCAAACAACAACAAAGCAGAAGCCACCCCTGCCCCGCAAAAAGAAAGCCCCCAAACACACAACAGGTTGTGCAAGTTGTGCCCTTCCCCCTCTGTGCTCCTGTGTAACAGCCAGGCTCAACTGAGCCCTGGGAGGACAGGGCAGCACTGAGGTGAGTGAAGGGTTAACTCTCTGAGTGGAAAGAAAAGGAGGACTTGTGGCACCTTAGAGACTAACCAATTTATTTGAACACGAGCTTTTGTGAGCTACAGCTCACTTCATCGGATGCAAGTGAGCTGTAGCTCACGAAATCTCGTGCTCAGATAAATTGGTTAGTCTCTAAGGTGCCAGAAGTCCTCCTTTTCTTTTTGCGAATACAGACTAACACGGCTGCTACTCTGAAACCTCTCTGAGTGGGTTGCTCTGAGTTTCACTTTCACATGTGAGTTTCCTCACTCAGTGCAGACTCTGCAGGGTGGGGCGAGAGGGAGCCAGTGCTGCTCGTTCTAGGTCCTGGGCTCTTCTTGTCTCTCTATTTGTGGGTCTAAATAGTGAGAAAACGGAGGCAAAGGAAGGAAGCTGGATACCAAGTTCTGTCTGGACTCCCCCCTCTTACAGTAAGTGCATCATGCTCTACGTTCCTGTGACTCAACTCAGTACAGCTTTGTATGGGTCAGAGCAGAGGGGAACTAGCTCGTCCTGCCTGGCCATTGTCATCACAAATGTCTGGCTGCAGTAAAGAAGAATCTTGTCTAAGGAGTGGAGAATCCAGTGTGCCAGATATAGGGAGCCTGGGTGTAGGACCCTGCAAGGTGGGAGGTCCCAGAGCTTTGGCCACAGCCTGAGCTTGAACCTCTATTAACTGCAATTAAACAAGGCCTCATGAGCCTGGATCAGCTGGCATGGCCCAGCCACGGGTTTTGAATTGCAGGGTAGATGTGTGCCCTTGTTGCCAAGAAGGCCAATGGCATTTTGGGATGTATAAGTAGGGGCATAACGAGCAGATCGAGGAACGTATTCGTTCCCCTCTATTCGACATTGGTGAGGCCTCATCTGGAGTACTGTGTCCAGTTTTGGGCCCCACACTACAAGAAGGATGTGGATAAATTGGAGAGAGTCCAGCGAAGGGCAACAAGAATGATTAGGGGTCCGGAACACATGACTTATGAGGAGAGGCTGAGGGAGCTGGGATTGTTTAGCCTGCAGAAGAGAAGAATGAGGGGGGGGATTTGATAGCTGCTTTCAACTACCTGAAAGGGGGTTCCAAAGAGGATGGCTCTAGACTGTTCTCAATGGTAGCAGATGACAGAACGAGGAGTAATGGTCTCAAGTTGCAGTGGGGGAGGTTTAGATTGGATATTAGGAAAAACTTTTTCACTAAGAGGGTGGTGAAACACTGGAATGCGTTACCTAGGGAGGTGGTAGAATCTCCTTCCTTAGAGGTTTTTAAGGTCAGGCTTGACAAAGCCCTGGCTGGGATGATTTGACTGGGAATTGGTCCTGCTTCGAGCAGGGGGTTGGACTAGATGACCTTCTGGGGTCCCTTCCAACCCTGATATTCTATGATTCTATGATTCTATGTACCCTTAGTGACCTGGGTGCTATTCCCAGGTCTCTCTGAAGTGGCCTTGTGCAAGCTCTCCCCTATTAAAGTCTATGTCTACACTGCACAGTTAACCCAGGCTATTGGCACCTGCGTCTGAGCACTTGGGTTAGCCTAGCCTGGGTGTGAGTGTCCCCACAGTAAAGCCGTACCCGTGTTATTGTGCTCTCACTGTTTCTGCACTCACCTGTGTGTGGCTGGGGGGTAGGGTTGCCAACTCTCCCAGACCGGACTGGACGCCATTGACACAAATGAGGACGCCATCACCGCAAAATGGAGTCCAGTCTGGGAGAATTGACAACCCTACTGGGGGGATATCCCAGGGCTCTCTGTGCAGAGACACACTAAGATTCTTTCCTAGTCAATTGTGGGAGAACTTATTTGTCCTCCAGGGGATTTGTGGGAAGAGCGTTGGAGGCCTATCAGCACTCCAGTGATTTTTGCCAGCATCCTCACGATAAAATGGGTGGGTTCCAGCCTGACTTAAAGCAGAGCCTGGGTTCCATCCCCAAAGCCAGGTGAGCTCGCCTGGCCTTAGAGCACCTCCAAACCGAGGTCAAAGGTTTTACTGGGTGGATGGTGGGGTGGGGTGGAGTGCGGGATGTTAAGGCTCAAACCTGGGTAAGAGCCTGGGTGAACTGTGCAGCGCAGACATTCCCTAACCGACAAATGATCGTGACCTCCAAGGTATGAGAGCTTGGCTTAGAACAGGGGTGGGCAAACTTTTGGGCCCAAGGGTTACATTGGGGTGCGAAACTGAATGGAGGGCCGGGTAGGGAAGGCTGTGCCTCCCCAAACAGCCTGGCCCCCGCCCCCTCTCCGCACCCTCCCACTTCCTTCCCCCATGAATGCCCCCCTTCAGAACCCCTGACCCATCCAACCCTCCCGCTCCTTGTCCCCTGTCCATCCCCTCCCAGGACCCCGGGGCCCCAAACCATCCCCCTGGAACCCCACCCGCTATCCAACCCCCCTGCTCCCTGTCCGCTGACTGCCCCTCCTGACCCCTATCCACACCCCCACCCCCTGACAGGCCCCCCAGGACTCCCACGCCTATCCACCCCCCCGTTCCCCATCCTCTGACTGCCCCCCCCCAGAACCTCTGCTCCATCCAACCGCCCCCTGTCCCCTGACTTTCCCCCCTGAACCTCCACCCCATCCAATTGCCCCCTGCTCCCTGGGACCCCCTGCCCCTTATCCAAGCCCCCCACCCCCGCCCCCGGTCCCTTACCATGCTGCTCAGAGCGGCAGGAGCTCGCAGCCATGTCGCTGCGCTGCCCAGCAGGAGCGGCAGGCCAGAGCACCGGCAGCGTGGCGCACTGAGGCTGCAGGGGAGGGGGGACAGCAGGGGAGGGGCTGGGGACTAGCCTCCCCGGCCGGGAGCTCAGGGGCCGAGCAGGACGGTCCCGCGGACCGCAGTTTGCCCACCTCTGGCTTAGAATAAGGGTTATAAAGGCAGGGACCACTCTAGCTATAGATAAATGAGGCAGCTGCCTACTATGGCAAATTCTGCCTGGGGTGGCCGCGCCAAACCTGAGTGACTCTGCAACCCTGTGCAGCAGGTGGCAGGGCTGCTCACTCAAATGTGGCCAGGCCACCCTCTGTCATGGCCACACATGAGCAAGTGGTGCTGTGACCTGGTGTTTGTCTCCCACACTGCCTTCTACCATAACCACTGAGCCATCAGAAGGCTCACCATGCCCCCTTCCCCAGTTGAGAAACTCTGTTCTGGGGTGTAGGATGAGGGCAGCAGACTGAATCATAGAATCATAGAATATCAGGGTTGGAAGGGACCCCTGAAGGTCATCTAGTCCAACCCCCTGCTCGAAGCAGGACCAATTCCCAGTTAAATCATCCCAGCCAGGGCTTTGTCAAGCCTGACCTTAAAAACCTCTAAGGAAGGAGATTCTACCACCTCTCTAGGTAACGCATTCCAGTGTTTCACCACCCTCTTAGTGAAAAAGTTTTTCCTAATATCCAATCTAAACCTCTCCCACTGCAACTTGAGACCATTACTCCTCGTTCTGTCATCTGCTACCATTGAGAACAGTCTAGAGCCATCCTCTTTGGAACCCCCTTTCAGGTAGTTGAAAGCAGCTATCAAATCCCCCCTCATTCTTCTCTTCTGCAGGCTAAACAATCCCAGCTCCCTCAGCCTCTCCTCATAAGTCATGTGTTCCAGACCCCTAATCATTCTTGTTGCCCTTCGCTGGACTCTCTCCAATTTATCCACATCCTTCTTGTAGTGTGGGGCCCAAAACTGGACACAGTACTCCAGATGAGGCCTCACCAATGTCGAATAGAGGGGAACGATCACGTCCCTCAATCTGCTCGCTATGCCCCTACTTATACATCCCAAAATGCCATTGGCCTTCTTGGCAACAAGGGCACACTGCTGACTCATATCCAGCTTCTCGTCCACTGTCACCCCTAGGTCCTTTTCCGCAGAACTGCTGCCTAGCCATTCGGTCCCTAGTCTGTAGCGGTGCATTGGATTCTTCCATCCTAAGTGCAGGACCCTGCACTTATCCTTATTGAACCTCATCAGATTTCTTTTGGCCCAATCCTCCAAGTTTTGCTACGGTGGCGGAGTATCCAAGCAACCTTTGTATTGAGGGTGCAGAAATATTAGCAGTAAGTCAAAGAGCTGGGAATGGAAGTCATGGTTTTTGGTCTTGCAGTTCAGTGGACTTTCCATGAGGCTACAGAACATTGGATGGGAAAAGTGTCTCTCATTTTGCTTCCCCAAACTGTGAGAAGGCTGCAGCTTTTCACATCACAATAATGGACTAAAGCTGGGGCCAAAATCACACTACTCACAATAAATTAATGAGTTAGTAACTCTAGTTGTTGTCTCCCTTCCAGCCCTTTACTGTAAAGTGCTAGTTTTACAGTCTGAAAGAGGCCATGGTGGGGAGAGGGTGCCTGTTTTTCTTACCACTTCCCCAACAAAAGTCTTGTGACACCCCTGACAAATGGGCTCTCAGGTTTTCACTTTTAAAAATAAGGCCAATGAGAACAGAAGGCTGTGTGCAAACTGGGGGTGGTAACTGGCTACCTGCAGGCCCACCAGTTATTCTGGACACCTGCTGACACTGCATAAGTAAACCTTAGCTTCAATTTAAATGTGTTTTTAACTATCTGGGATGGGGCAAGGCTAGTTCTAATAAAAACTGATTTCAAAATGTCAGGAAATGCAGGGGCGGTTTGCAAAAGTGAAACTATGCTCTGATCATAGCAGACTGCAGAGAACAGCTGTTCTCCATTTCTGGACGGAAAAAACATCTGAAACTCAGTCTAAACAAGCTCTCTCCAGTGCCTTAATTGAGTCCACAATGTGTGATACTTTCAGTGAGCTAAGATCATATTACAGTCAATCAAATTATATGGACTAAGCCAGAATCTTCAGTGCAGATAGACAAAGGAAGATATGGGTGTGGCAAGTTCTCTGCTCCCTCTTGGAAATAGAGGGCACATGTTTGCAGGTTCATATATTTGTATAGTTTGTTTATATATTTGTATTGCAGCCAGAAGGGAGAATAATGGATTCCATTTGCTCTGGTTCCAAAATGTCTTGAAAGATCTCTGGAGCTGTGTTAGAAGAAGTAAAAGAAAGTAACTGGGGTGGAGCAGTGGGGGTAGGAGCTGTAACGGTATGAAGGGTGAAATGTTCCTCTCTGTGTCCCCAAGTGGAGGGACAATTGAACCAGACACCCCAGCCCTAGGAGTGAAAAAAGGAGGAGTGCTTGCTTATTTTATCTTCCTCTTCCTTTCCTTGAAAGCCCTTCTGTGCAGGTCTGGCTCCAATGAGCTGGAGTGGGAGCCATCATGATTGACGAGCGAAATAGCCCATCTCTCTGATATTCTCCAAACCTACCAGGCAGCTTGTGACTCCTCCCTTTTGAAAGAATGTTTGTGAGAACTGGGGGCGGCAATGGAATGGACACATACATTTTGCCTTAGTAAGGACTGCAGGGCTGGGTCCCCAGTTTGTTCTTTTAGCTTTGTGTTTTGTAG